CACACTCAGCTATGGAGTGGCTATCATGATGTCCCCAACAGCATCGAAGGCTCTCATGCAGTGGGAACCAATCTCCTCCAGCATCACGATCGTGACAGCAAGGTTCGACTCAAAAGGAAGGAAGGAAGGTCACAATCACAAAATGCTATGCACCTACAAATAATGGAGATGAAGAGAAGAAGGAGGAATTCTACAGACAACTTCAATCAACACTGGACAAGACACCACCTCAGTTGGCGATATCAAAATTCTAATGGATGTGGCGACATGAATGCCAAACTGGGAGGGGACAACACAGGGAAGAGAACTAACCATGGGTCGAGAGGCGCTAGGTGAAATGAATGAGAATGGAGAATTGTTTGCAGAATTCTGTGCATTCAACGATTTGGTGATTGCAGTGAGGCAGTGTGTTCAAGCACAAGGATATCCACAAAGCGACATGGATTTCACCAGATGGACACACTAAAAATCAAATCGACTTTATCTCAATCTCAAGAAAATGGAGACGCAGTCTACTTAACACAAGATCAGATCAAGAAGGGGAGCAGATGTAGGTTCACACCACTCACTATCTAGTGCAAGGAACCTCCTCCAAATCAAGTTAAAAGCCTTCAAGGAAGTTGGTGATAGACCTCAATTCAAGTACAACACCCGGAAACTGAAGGATGAAACTACAAAGGAGATCTTCAAGGCAGCCATCAAGACAAAATGGGAGACATCGAGCAACATTCCTGAAGAAACCTGTGTGGAAGAACACTGGAAGTCTTTGAAAGCTATGTGGAAAGAAACCTGCACAACAGTATTAGGAAGGAAGAAGAAAGAAGACAAGGAATGGATCTCGATGGATACCTGGAAGCTGATAGAGGAGAGGAGGATGGTGAAGCAGAAGATAAACCAGTGTAAGGATGGACGAAGAGAAGAGGAACTGAGTACAATATATAAAACACCACACTGGACAAAGAAGTGAAGAAGAGTGCACGCAAAGACAAAAGACACTTCTACGAAACACTGGCAAGTGAAGCAGAACAGGCTGCTGGTAGGAGAGATAGAGACCTGACAACATTGTATCAAATAACCAGGTTGCTACTTGGAAAGAGATCAACGCAGATGAAACCAATAAAAGATGAAGGAAATTTAATTACGAAAGAAGAGAAACAAAGGAAACAATGGGCCGACCACTTCAAGAAGCTCTTGAATCGACCACCACCTGCACTTCGTCCAGAAATACCACCTGCAGCCGCTGAACTACAAGTGAACATAAATCCTCCAACGAAAATTGAAGTCCTGAATGCCATAAGGCTACTGAAATGTGGGAAAGCAGCAGGACCAGATGGAATCCCACCAGAAGCACTGAGAACAGACGCAGGGACAACAGCAGCGGACATGCTCACACCACTACTGCAGAAGATCTGAAAGGAAGAGAAGGTACCTGGCTAGTGATTGGAAGAAGGGTTACCTTGTCAAACTGCCGAAGAAGGGAGACCTCAGTGTTTGCAAGAACTGGTGCGGAATCACTCTCCTGTCCACCCAATGCAAGCAAAATATTGAGCCGCATCATCCTGGAGAGGCTGAAGGCTGCACTGGATTCAAAACTACGACCGGAACAGCATGGCTGCTTCAGGAAGTACAAATCATGTGCAGACCAAATTGCAACGCTACGCTTCGCATCATCATAGAACAGAGCATAGAATGGCAGTCAACTCTCTACCTCAACTTCATCGACTTTGAGAAGGCCTTTGACAGCGTCGACCGAGAAGTAATTTGGAAACTGCTTCAATACTACGGAATACCACAAACCTTTATCCGCCTCATTCAACAACTATATGAAGATGCCACATGCCAAGTAATTCACAATGGGAAGCTCAGTGATGCTTTTGAAGTGAAGACAGGAGTGAAACAAGGTTGCCTACTATCCCCCATGATATTCCTGATTGTGGTGGACTGGATCATGCAGCAAACAGTGGGGAGCGAGAAGAGGGGGATACACTGGACTGCGGAAAAGAACCTAGAAGACTTGGATTTCGCCGATGACTTGTGCCTGATGTCACACAAACTTGAAGATCTACAGGCAAAAACTAACAAGTTGATAGAAGAGGCAGCTAAGACGGGACTTCAGGTGAATATAGAGAAGACAGAAGTGATGAAGATACCGCACCAACAACATCAACAACAACAACAAACTCCAATCACCGTCAACGGGAGAAACTTAAAGGAAGTAACCTCCTTCACTTATCTAGGAAGCACTGTTTCAACTACAGGCGGGACAGACGAGGACGTCAAAGTCAGAATCGGAAAAAAGCAAGACAGGCGTTCATTAGCCTGAAACCAGTGTGGAGATCTTCTGCACTCAGCATAAAGCATGAACAAGATCCGGATTTTCAACACCAACTCAGTCAAGTCAGTGCTTCTGTATGGTTGAGAGACTTGGCGCGTTACGAAAGGGATTTCCAATAAACTACAGACATTCATCAACAACTGCTTACGCTGGCTCGTTACTGAAGATCAGATGGCTAGAATAATAAGAATAAGCAACAAGGAGCTCTGGGAACGAACCAACCAAGAACCTATCACTCAACAAATATGCACTGAAGGAAGTGGAGATGGATTGGGCATACACTGAGAAGGCCGACTGAGGACATCACGCGTCAGGCTAGGCCCTCGAGTGGAATCCCATGGGAAGCGACGAGTTGGACGTCCGAGGGTGACATGGAGGAGATCGTGCGAGGAGGAAATGAGAGCTTCTGGGCTGTCGTGGAACCAGGTTCAAAAGATCTCAGAGAACAGAATTCACTGGAAACGTGCTACTCAAGCCCTATGTTCCACTAGGAACCCAAGGGACTAATAATAATAATTATAATAAGGAACGATAACACTGGGCATCACTGATGGACAACACTACTTGTCGTCAATTCACATGGCAACTCTCCACAACCCCCTACACGGCTGCGTGACCTCAAGTAGAGAGATTTGGTAAGCACAATATACTTGCTCGGCACTCCCTTAACAGTCAGACACTCACACAACAACCCACCATCAACACAGTCAAATGTTGCCTTCAGATCAAGAAGTATGGCAAGTGTCGCCCACTCAACACTAGGTATGTCCAAGTTCCAGGACCTGTCGAAGGGTGAAAATATGATTGATGCACCCTGTCTCAAACCTGTCTGGTTTCCTCCACCTCCACTCAGACGTCCAGTAACTATGGGCCCCATGGTCTTCAACACAATAATAGTCAAAATGATTCCCCCATGCTTGTCACAAGAGACTTCTCTCCTTCCTCATAGACTGAGATGATCAGTGAAGTACACCTGTCTGACGGCAATACTTCGGATTCCCATACACTATCCAGTACCTTCGTCACTCTAATTAGCAATTTCCTACCCCCATCCTTGAAAACTTCGAGTAGCAAACTGTGAGATTCAGCTGCTTTGGATCGTCTCAGGGTCGATACAGCTTTCTCGACTTTCAAGAGAGTTGGAGGACCGACATCTAAATTCCATCTAGGTTCGGACTAGATGTTGGGTAATCGAAGAGTTGCTTGGGGGCAGTTGAATTGTACTTCAGAGTGTTCTACCCAACGTTCTAGCTGTTTGTACTGGAAGGTTAACAGGCAGCAAACCGCAAATATGAACTATGGGAAGTTAAATATATCTTACAAAACTTCTCTCCTCATTCTTGTTTTGTTTAGTAGAGTAGTTCTTCATGTCACTATTATGTCGGTTTGGTATTTAAACTCAATAATATGTACCATAAGTCAAAAACGAAATCGTACCGAAAGATTAAAAGAAATTTAATTTACACTTTGAATAATGAATTCACTTTGAGAGGCTTCAACAGTCTTTCACTCTTTCAAAAACAACAAGGAAATATTTGAAAGTTATTCGAATTAAGCTGCTGTTTACAAAGGAATCTGTCAACTTAAGACGACCTAATACTCATCTTTAGAAAATGACCAGTCGAATCTAAGCCATTGGAATATCATATTGCTGTACATAAACATATTGAAAAGCGAACCGAATGCTTCCTCGGTTCTTTTCTTCTGAGTAAGAGGAGGACTAAAAAAGATGAGACAATTTCTCCCCAAGTAACACCATATAAAGATAGGTAGTAAGAATTAAACAAAAATTTATTTGAATAATAGTAATAGTAATAATAACTCAGAATATAAATATAGATAATAACTTCTCTCATTGCCAGTGTGCAAATGATTGTGATAACGGGAACCATTTTAATGGCCAGTGAAGCTTTTACAAAAGTGCATGAACAAATACACAAAAAAGTAATTGATGATTACATTTCAAGTGCATGAACTTGTATAAATACAAGTTCACGTATACATACAAAGAAACTTTTCAACATAATTGATCAACAGGAGGAAAAGGCGAAGCTGAATCAGAAGACGATCTTGTTTTTTCCTTATCTTATCAACTACTCCTATAAAAAGAGTTGGGATGTTATTTTAAAAACGAACCAATCAGTGATCGAAAAGGCCACCAGTTCAATAGAAGATTAGGCTTCATGTGCTGATATAGAAATTGAAAGTGAAAAGGCAAAGAACTCGATTAAGGTAGAGAAAATGTAGAAAATTGATAAGTTCAGTTAGAATTAGAATAATGTGTGTAGTGAAGAGAAATGACCATTTTTAAGTGCCATCTTTTTTCAATAACTTCACACACACACACACACACACACACACACAAAGAATGAATCATTTCTTCAAAGCATGATGAGCATATGAAAAAAACGGAGGTTAACGATTTCAAGAAATGCAACAGATATGAAGATACAAATAAAGCACAAAGACTGAGAGAAGGCGGTAAATGCGTCTTTCTCAGATAAGTGCTTACGCGAAACAAAGGCCAGTAAACGAACATCCAGATGTTTAATAAGCATTTGAGAGAAATAACATCTTGACAATCAATAACTGAAAACACTATAAGCAGAAAGAATGCAAATAAAAAAGAAAAGTTCTAGTACAAACAAGAATACCAAGCAAAACATTATGCTGATCGCTTGAGATCAGCTGTTTGGATACCAGCTAATATACGCTGCCATAAAGCTGGACTACACTTGGGATGACGGCGAATATAAGTGAGTAAATTATCCCAGTGTAGGTTACGATTAATAGCTGGCATAGTTAAATGAACACTGTGAGCTTTCAAAATTAAATCAACAAATTCATCCCATTCAGCTTGACTTTGTCCAATGTACTGCAGTCTTTGACTAATGTACGAGTGAAATCTAGAGAAATAAGACACACAAAAAAATAACAATAATGGAAGTGGAAATAGCAGTGAGTTGTAACATTCCCTTCCAAAAAAATCTAGGACAATATATTTATTCTTGAGGAATTTTGATTTCAAAGTTGGTTTCATGAAGTACATCATCTAAACATATCTCATGTATTCTGAAATACGAGTGTCAAGAAGAACACAGTTCAAAAACAACCGAAGATTTTCCCGAACGCCATGTGCAAGCCTCTGAATATCATGTGGTAATTCAGATACACACCATATTCCTAGTCTCTGACCATTTGAATGCCCTGGTATGGTTCATCCGCTTGAATTGCTCTACACAATACGCGCGTCTATAACCTCTGCGAGAAAATTCCTACTCAATGGCTCAATATGATGATGCACTTCGTAATGACAAAGTTAAGGCAAAAACGAACATCTAATGCCATCATCAGAATGGTGAGTGCAAGGAGTTTACCTATCGGAGTTGGTTAGCATCTTATCCGAAACCAGTGGTGCACGTCTGTTTCACGATCCAGAACGGATGAATATTGTAAGAACCTACTGTGTTCACCATCATCCATGAGGATGCACTGCCTTGTAAACCAGGTAGAGGTGTGGTTTACTGGTCTAGGCACTTGATTTATCACCAGTGGGTTACGGGTTGGAGCCCTGCTTCATCCACCAAGGTTTAGGCATACATGCAGTACTATTACGAATCACACAAAAGGTGTGGCTAGTTGCCAACTTCACGAATGTGCACAAGATTGCTGGGTGGATTTTGATTGGGCATCACACGTTAAGTTGAGGTGTATAGAGAGTGGTCTCTTTAAAAACCCACCTGATTCGGCTTGGAAACCAGGGAGTACAGCGAAGGAAAAAACCCGGTAAGCACAGGCAGGCTCATGCGACGGACAACCAGCCATTCCTATCTTGTGAGCAATGAAGATATTACCTGGCTGTTCAAACCCGGTAAGTAGAGCACGGTTCAAAATCGTGACCGAGTCGCTGAAAGCTGCATCTTGACTGATAAGCCGCAGCTCTAGCATAACAGTCCACATAAAATTTATTAATTACAATTAGCAACGAATATTATGCAGAGATCACTGAATCATTACCCAAGAAACAAAATCCACTTTGTAACCGAAATTCAACTCAATTAGACAATAAACTGTCATTATATCGTCCGTAAATAACCTTCAACATGCCTTTCCGACTGGCTCAGCTTCACCACCTTCAACGTTAAAGTCACCTACAATTATAACTACATCTGAACACATTTCGCTTTCTGTACCAAAGTTGACAGCTTCTCATAGAATTCACATTCTACGTCATCCAAACTACAGTCGGTGAGTCAGTAGGTAAAGATTACAAACAGATACTACCTAGTCTCATTATCCTTCATAGTTGTTACACATCCATTCAGTCGAACAGCACACAGTCGGCTACTCAATACTATCCAGTCAACAAGCCAACTTTATAACCTACAACTCAATGCTATATCTACACCACTGTGTCTACAACAGATAGATATATGGTCTCTCGATACTCTTAACGTGAAGTTCACCGATTCACTGCTATGGACAGGTGAGGTTGATCTAATAACCACACTCCCTTCCCGCCTACATGCGTGTCTCACAGACACAGCATACATCCATGGTTAGAGATTCAGGAGTTCTGGTGGCAGATGCTTTCTGTCCGATTTGGTATAGAGTTCGGACATTGAAGGCCCCCACATGAAGTCGATAGTGGGATCCTAGTAGACTAGTAATGAGGTTCCGATGCACATGATCGCCAGCAACGGTTGCAGAATGAGAGGCTGGGGAAGGAGTAAGAGGCCTAATATTGGTATCACGAGATCAAGGCAAAGGAGGAGACGCAGTTGAGGAGGATAGGTAAGTAATGTTTGGTTGAGTTTTTAATGCTAGTGGAAGCGTGCGGTAGGGTCCACTTCCTGGCCATTTCTTCTTGAGGTACCTGAAAGAGAAAAAGATTTATGTGACCAAAGAGCCCATGAGGCCTGTCACACATGGCCTTTCGTGGGATGTTTTGAAATTTGGTTGTTCTTACCCCGGATAAACAGAACCCATACCGCCGGCAACGGAAGACCGTGGGCCAGAGTGGAGCATGTTATTTTTGAGGCCGACCTTTTCTAACCCCCTTTTTCCGTTAAGGCAGCAACAGCGTGGCACTTCTGATCATCCTAGGGAATCACTTTACTACTGTCACACTCCCGTTCAGTCAGCAATACGACTACATCCTCTGACTTTCATCATAGCGTAGCAGTTTACACCACAACGGTAACTGCTTTTCGTCTTACCATTATCCAACAGACCTTTGTGGTATAGTAGAACCTCAAGGGAAGAAGAGTTCCACCAGCATAGCTCATCAGGTCATTGTGATTTGCAAGTCTGACCACCACATCAGGAATCCTCAATCAGATGACTGCGCTTTTATACATGGAGGTTGTTAAAATGAGTCACTGAAGTAGGTGTTACACCAAGTACCAAGTCAACGTGCGGAAGCTGCACTAGTCAACTAGATTCCCATCAACAATAGTCAGTATGCCATAAGGCTAGGAAGTTTATTTGCAGTAGGAAGTGGCAAAAAAAACGATGTCTCTACATAATCACGCAGCTCGGATGCAACTTAGGATGAGTTTCGTAACCAACTGAGTAACCTTGTTTACCACATGAACTCGACAGAAGTCAGTATGCGTTTTGCACCGTCGAAGTATTTCTACACGGCTAGGTAAAGCCTATTCCTGAACTCATCCTTGCCAGTGAATCATCGTAAGCTCTTCAAAGTTTGTGCGTTTGGGTAGTTGTATCAGAGCTGTTAGAGGTTTAACTGATGAAATTTCTAATGGCATGTAGAAAGCCAGAGATATGTGCCAATGTGCGTCACCTCTGGCACCGTGGTAAACTGAATCTTTCTGCTGCAAAAGGTGTGGTATACAACTCAGCAGTGTGGGTAGTTGTGCCCTACGCCTGTGGGACGTAGCCTCTACCAGAGGTGGATGCCTGGCAACATTGACTTTTCGATCACCATTGCCTACGTAAGATTGCTGGTGGTCAGTGGAAACATTGTGTAAGTAAACGTGAGGTAAGGCAATATGTATTCGATCGTGATGAACATTGTCACTCATTGACTGTCATCATCTTGAAACTACTGCATCGGTGACTTAGATATATAATACGAATTTCAAACTAGCGACTCCCCTACCGGTCACCGTTTCTTTGCCCTTGAACTGGTTGGAAGAGATGGCCAGAATACGATGTAGCACTGTGGGAAGGATAGTTGTATCGTGTTAGCATCTGCAGGTGTTTCATGAATCCCCAGATAAAGTTCGATACATCATATTTGAGACGATAGCTCAAAATCAGTCAGTCCTTCCACTTTCCTCAGAATTGAGAGAATTGTTTCGAAAACATAACAACATAAGGCAGCAGAACCTAACGTTTGACCATCAGAAATTCTTAACGAAGAGGGAAGGAAGTTAGGTAACGAAGGAAACAGGAAGCATACGAGAATCAGAGTTGATTCCATCAGACTGGTCTACTTCAATGATCACAACAGTTCATAGCAAAGAAAAAAGGCTTCGTAGTTCTTACATGTTGGCTAGCAGTGGAAGCCAGGACGCAGGTTTTGTCCTACCTGTGGCTCGACAAGTGGGTTATCCATACTCCAGTGAATGATGTCGTTCCCATTGAGACTCAAACCTAGTAGGCATTGCTTCAAGCACCAGGGCGTTATCCACTAGGCCACTGAGGGATGAGAGCCATCTGTTGTGCGACGGGCATTACTTCTTATCTATTGATACCTTCATTTCCAGTTGATATGCTGGAACGACCTGCTG